GACACATTCTAATTTGGTTTATAGTTAGACCACAATTTTCCTTTTTCATTTTTGCTTTCCATGAGATTTTTAACTGAGCCTTTGTTTTCCTCACACAATTATCCCCAAATCTTCATGACACTATTCTTTCTAGTCCCTATTTTTCTTCCCAATATCTCCTTCCTAAACCCTCTTTCCTCTCGTATCAATCTAGAAATGCTTTCTAGGCCTTCAGAACAGCTGTTAACTTGAGTCTTCTTTTCACTATTATGCTGGGTTGGCTCAACTTTTTTTTGAACTTCTGTCTTCCTTTTCCTTAGTTACAATAAATTTGCAGGAGTGCATCCTTAAATAACTACCTAAATGATGGTAAACACAAGGTAAATGTTCTAGGACCATGCAAGTCTAAAAATTCTATCTTGCCGGGCCAGCGTGGCTCAGCAGTTGAGTGTCCACCCAGAAACCAAGAGGTCACCAGTTCCCCAGTGAGGGGCATACAGGAGGCAGCCAGTCGAAGACATTTCTCTCGTTGGTGTTTCTACCACTCTATCCCTCTCCCTTCCTCTCTCTCTAAAAATCAATAGAAACATGTGTTTTACAAAAAATTCTATCTTCATAATTGTGCCTTCATAATTAATCATTTGACTTAGTATATAATTCTGCCAAGAACCATCTGAGTGAGCCTGGAAGCAGATCTCGCTCCCAGAAGATGACTGCAACATCTACCAATACCTGGATAGCAGTCTTGTAAGAGCCCCAGAGCCAGCTATGCCAGGCCCAGAGTCCTGACCCACAGAAAATGTGAGATAAATCCTAATAATAAAAAATGTTGTTTTAGGCTGTTAACAAAACAAAATAAAACAAAAACACCCAAGTCAAGAACATTGTATTAAACTCAACATAAATAGAAGGAAGGAAATAATAAAGAGTGAAACTGATTAAGGAAATATTATGAACAATTTTATGCCTCTAAGAACTTTAACTGAAATATACAAATCCTTGAAAGATCCAAATTTAACATTCATTCATGATACCCAAGAATAGCAAATGAGATATAGAAAGGAATTTTTCTGAACTTGAAAAAAAGTATCTAAGAAAAAAGTACAGCTAACAAAACTGAATGATTTCCCTTAGGAGCAGGAATGAAGCAAGGATGTTATCATCTCTATCAGCATTATACTGAAGGTCCTAAATTTTACACTAAGGCAAGAAATAAAATAAAAGTCAATTTGATAAGGAAGATATAAAACAATATTCACAGATGACATGATCATGTACGTAAAAAATTCTAAGGAATTAAAAAAACATTAATAACATAGGAATGTCATAAAAGTTATGAAGTCAACATGTATTTTACATATTGACAAGAAACTACCATTTATATTAGCAAAGAAAAATGGGATACATTTAAAATACACATGTACCATATAGATAGACTTTGGGTAGTGGGCACACAGTGCAATATACAGATCTTGTATCATGGAGATGTAAACTTGAAATCTATACGATCCTATTAACCAATGTCACCCCAAAACATTTTTAAAAATTTAAATTAAAAACACATATGCAAAATCTATACACTAAAAGTTATAAAACACCACTAAAAGAAATTAGAGAAGACCTAAAAAACTGAGATATTCTATTTCATAGAAGACTCAATATGGTGGAAATGTCACTTTCCCCCTAAATGACCTCTATATCCTATGCTACCCCAGTCATTATCCCAGCTTCTTCTGTAGAAACTGAGGAGCTGATTTTAAATTTTTTAATGAAATTCAAATGACTTACCATAGTGGAAACAATTTTGATAAAGAAAAACAAAGTTGAAGGACCTACAGTACTTGATTTTAAGAAATATTATAAACTCAATGTTATCAAGACAGTGTAATGTTAACATAAGAGTAAACAAACAGACCAAAAGATAATACAATGTACTGGAACAGATCCACTCACATATGGTGAATTGATTTTCAAATAATGGTGCCAATACAATTCAGTATAGAAAGGAAAATGTTTTCAATAAATTATTTAAATATGCTGTATTGTTTTTTCCTTTACAGTGTCAGGCGTAATTATTAGAAGACAATTACAATCCTTCCTAAACATGTGCGTTTTCCTATACTAATCAAATCACTTAAAATAGGAAGATACCCCAGAAAAATACTAAGTCATGTTTAATATGGGAGATCATCATTTAAAAAAAGAATTTGTTTTAATACCTACTATAGTATTTTGAAAAAATAACCAGGAATGTGAGATATTTAAGATTAAGCTAAACTAGCTAGTAATAATTAAAGTATAAGTAGGAAATTTAAAATACAGGTAGGTACACACACAAAAAGCTATGTTACCCACAATGCTGACACTTTGATTTATCTGGTACAATAAAGTTCTTGGAACACACCCAGTATTACTCATAATCAGGTGGTTGGTTCTTCATTTAAAAGGATTTTGAAAATTAAGGATAGCAATTATTTCTCACTCTTTCTAAAATCATTTCAAAATACAACATAATAGGAAATAAGTATTTCATGAGAAGTACCAAAAACTAGTTAAAAAAAAAATGTTGTGTATGTTCCTAATTTAGACAAGGCTCAAAAATTGATACCCTGAATATATCACAGAACACCCAGGGTATACAAGTAGGTATAAGCAAATCTCAAACATACTATGGCCCTAAACTGAATGAAAATGTTTACCTGTCTTCAAGAAAATTCCAACCTAAAAAAACAAATTTAATTCTCTCACATGGTACATACCCAACAGAAGAAACACTAGCAAAATTAGGTTTGAGTTCCAACATAAGTTTGTAACCTAACCAGCTGCGTGACCATTCATTCATTCATTCACCACATATTTTGGAGAGCTCATTTATTATGTGCCAAACACTGGAAACAAAGTTGTAAAGAAAATATAAAAAAAATCCATGCCCTCCTGACACATTCTAGTGAATCACTTAATCTCTGAAAACAATTTAGTTTTCTTTCTCTAAAATACTAGACTTCCCTTTTAAATCTATTTTCACTTATTTAAACAAGAAACCCATACGTATTACTTTTCTGACCCAAGAAAAGCAACTTATGGAACATAACCTGAAATCTACTCTTGGAGCTGGCTGAAACTATTTGTTGCGTCATCATGTTCAGACAGCAAATAGAGAAAGATAAGAAACTGATGTTTTTGAAGGACTCATTTAAATTCACTAATTTTGGTTTATATAATCTAGATAAAATATGACCCTTATTGGCCTCTTACATGGTAACTAAACTTCCTCGGATGGGATCCAAGGAAGCAGAACTTCTTATGAAAAATCTCTCCAAATAAATGAATAATTTTACACACATTTTGAGTACTTAAGACTATAAAATCATAGACTGCCTAGTGAATCAACTAATCAACTTATCTTTTCTTTAGAGTACGATCTGATCTTTGTTTTTAAAGTGCTTGCTGCAAAACAGGTAGTCAGAAATCCAAACTGTGTATTCAAATCCAGTTCCTGTGCCTAACATCTCAAATTTTTCTTTTAGTTATCATCAAAATACACTTTTCTCCACAAGAAAACAGGCATGACAATCCTTCAAGCATAACTCCTCACTCTAAAATGGTAAGTTTTTAAAATGTCTCATGTATTCATTTTCTCCCAGAGAAACTCTAGAATCAAAAATAATTTCTGATAAGACCGAAACAACATTCACTTTAAATATCCCTTCCTGCAGTTCCTAATCTCTGAGAATCATTCCCAAATGAGAAAATGACTTAAGTATATCAGAAAAAACCAAAGGGAGGAAAAAAACATCCCACTGAAAGAGGCTCCTCCATTTATTTTCAAGTTATAAAATATGATCAAAATTTGCCAAAGCAAGCTAACTCCAGTACAAGCAGTAGTTCTCTATTATGTGATCCTGGACATACTGTTAATATAAAATGCTGTATGCTGTATTTATGCTTATTTTTTAAGGTGTTTTAAGAATATGAACGCCACCAATAGACCCAATAAATGCAAATGCCAAAGTGTGGAAACTGCTAGAGAGAAAGGACAAAAAGTGGTGTAACAATTTTACATAAAATACATATAATAAAACCATGAGTTATTTCCATTTTCTACAGTGATCTGAACTGTAAATGGCTTCTAGAACTATGTTCTCAACTCAGCTATACCAAATACCAAATTGTAAAGGGAACCTTAAAACATCCATTTATATTTTAAAAGCCTCATGTTGATGAACAGTTTATTTGATTCATACTTTAGAATCCAATAAATGAGACTTTGATAAAACTAAAATGATTTATAACTTAGAAGAATTTTTACTGTGAAATATTAATTATCCAGCTCTCCTGCTGTTCAGCTTTTAGACAGAACCCTCATTACTGGCAGCTAGGTATAAT